ATCTGGTTTTTTATTTTTTTTAACATGGTAAGATAATTTATCATTCTGAGTTAAAAATAGCCAAAGCTAGTATGAAATGTCTCTAAAGGAGACTTACACACGGAATCTGCGACTCCTCACCTGCTGGATGTGACAGGTTAGTTCGGAATGAGTAAAATTTCACTTGACCTAATAACCTTATGACCATATATGATAAAATTATTACTAAGTTAAGTGACATTACTGTAATTATTTTTGTATGCTCACAATCACTCATGTGGAAGTAGACAAAGGAACCCAATCACATTGTAAAATCCTAAAATAATCCTTGAAATACTTGGCTGTGTACGACCCGTTCATATATATAAAAGGCTGACTCATCTGTCCTTCTGCAAGCTGTCTGAACAGCGTGCTGTGTGCACACGCATCCTTAACACTCCTGCGAGCTCTCCAGAACGGTGTGCTGTGTGCACACGCACCCTTAACTCTCCTCTTGGCTCTTCTGCTTGTTTTGCGGTACTTGGGTCCTATTTTCACTTGTCTGCCACACATGATTAAATTAACAGAGTAATTCAGACAAGCAGTTTTCAGAGTGATGTGCTGGCTATTTCAAGGCCTCATTAGAAAGTAATCTGTTACAGTCAAAATTCACTCTGTGGTGTCCACAGTCACTCCTTTATCCTTTAAAAATTATTTTTACACATATGCATGTGTAATTAGTTCTTTAAACATATTTCTAAGAAACAGAACTCTTAAGAATTTTGACCCTGGAGTGGCTACTGTCTACCTGAACCTGCTTTTCTGTCCATTTCTAGTACTTTTAACTTTTGGTGGGGTCATTTGTCCTTTTATACCTTAGTTTCCTGCTCTAAATTCATGATTAAACAATATATTCTCCCATGATTGAATGAATTAACACTCAGAAGATGTTCAGGAGTATTTGGCACTTCCTAAGTACCTCTAAGGATCTGCTATTATTATTGAACATTACTATTTAATATATTATAAATATGCTAGAAAGCTATTTTTAAATGGGTGCTATATTATATCTTCCCAAGTATAATATACTTTCTGATACAGGAAGTTGAAGTTTTATATTTTGTTTAGACTCTACTTAAGTACGCTACAGACCTAGATGGATGCTGATGAAATATAACAAAAGTCTATCACAGTCCTTTCGACAGCCAAGTTCATTAATACCAGTTGACCAAAAGTGGATCAGCCCCAGATGGGCATTAGAACCAAGACAGAGCTTTAAAAGTACATACAGGCTTTGCCCCTGAAAATGTGGGCTAGTCAGACACCAATACTTTTAAGGTTCTAACACACGATATAACCTGGGTTGATCATTGCCACAGGCCTGCTCTGGACATCCCTGTGGACACCATTCTCAGGGTCATGCTACCTTTCTGCAATTTGTCTTTCACTATGTACCAGCGTACCAAACAGTGACATCCCATGACACTGTGATGCCAATTTTATGAATGAAAACCTCGGCAGGCCATACTGAGCAAACCTCTTCTGGGTTCTTGGTACGTGTCTCTGACTGAATGCCTCCAGGGCACGGGATCCCAGCTTAACAGTGGGTGACTCTAGAGCTTTTAAGTCAGGACGATTTCTAGGTGTGCAGATGTATACTCATACTCATTTTCTTTCTTTCGTTTTTGCATTTAGCTGCATCGATACCATGATTAGACTCTACACACAGGATATATAGGACATGGCTATTTTTCTCCAGACTAAATAAATCACAAAACATAAGTTCAAAAGTTGCTAGGACAATGCTTTTAAAGACAAGCTATTTGATGTCTGCTCGAAGGGCTGTCTAGTGTAGCTGCTGCTGTCATTCACAAACTCGATAGCTGAATGGAGGGTGGGATCTTAGTGCTGTTACCTGTATGTTTCCTATATCTGGTGTGCCGCAAAGGATTCCGGTCTGCTACATCACACTGAAGTCTAAAGCCACAGCATGATTCAGGGGTCCAGAAGGTCTCCGTCCAGAGTGGAGAGCACAAGATGGCCTGACGGCTGCTGAAGTCACTTCTCTCACCTCTCCTCTTTAAAGTGGGAATGAGAGTGGGCTCTCTGGAGTCTGAAGGCATCTCTCTTACTGCTCCATAGACGGAAGCAAAGCCTGGGCGGTTGTCTACATAACTCCCTCCCCTGCTTGAGGGTTTAAGCAGCAAAGCCATCAGAGCCTAGGTGTTTGCTTTCTTCGTGGGCCTGACACAAACTGAATGACCAGATTCACTATCCTTCAAAAGGAAAGACATTCTCATAGAGAAAACAAAGGCAATTCAGCTCTTAAGAGAACCTAAAAGACTAAAGCACAATTGCAAATTACATTTTCAACAGGCCGATTCCCTGTGGATCTTAGCGTTTGATCTCAGAAAAGAACTTACGTTTGGCATCTGGGACACTGTGGTAAGGCGACCACACAAGCATCCCTCCATTGTCTTTATCTGTGTACTTGGTAGCACCTGAGGAAAAATGAATTATTTTGAATATGATAGCTTTGTATTTATATTCCAAGTAAACATCAGCAAAATCTTATGTTTTAGTATAATACCTGCAAAGGACAAAGGCACAAGGAAACAGGAAGTTTATGAAAGTCAGCAGAACACTCAGTTTTGGATGGAGGACACTGTGGCTCTCTTTAAAGCCGCTCTGAAGCAACCCTGCCTTCCCTTCCGGTCACCTGACAGAGCGGCTTTCTGTACACTGGGTAGGGAGCTTCATCAAAACTGACCTTTCCCCTACAGAGCGCCTGCCTCACCCGTGCTGTCTAGACAGGGTGCAACCGCTGCGACTTAAAGACGAGCATCTCTCCTGGCGTGCATCGGATCTTATCCCTAAGGCTGCTAGCTTTCCTTTCCAGACTCAATTTCACCGCTCTTCATAGTGATAAAAACGCGCGCTCCAAGACAAAGGCATAAAAGTTAACACATTTCTTCTTCACATGATCTGACTGAGTCTAGAAGCCCACTGTCCTCTCCTAGGTATTTCTCGTGTTAACCTAAGAAGTCCAGAACATCAAGCCTCACACCTGTAGATACTATTATTAGAACAGGAGTTTCTTTCTGGCTTCTACCCAGTCCTTAGCTACAAGCCAGTTAAAACTACTAACAGGACACTCTGCTGCCAGGTGAGGACCACCGCGTTTCATGAGGCAGGTATCTACCTAACACCAACAGCCAGAATTTCAAATTAACCACATAAATACTAATAGAATTCTGAGGTTAAACTCAGATTATTGTAAGGGATTTGGAATACAGATATTCCTTACTACATTTTCTATACAGAGAAATCAGTTATGAGCCAATAATTTACTTCACTTTCAGAGAATCATCATATACTACTACTAAATGTACTTATTTAGGTAAGAATTTTTAGTTGGAAGATTCATCTCATATGATTTTAAACCTACATTTTATGATCTGAAAAATTAAGGTTGGTGAACAGGTTATCTAAGTATTTAAAAAAAAAAAAAACCTCAACTATACAAATACAGTTAAAAAGCAAAACCTTAGCCGGGCAGTGGTGGCGCACACCTTTAATCCCAGCACTTGGGAGGCAGAGGCAGGCGGATCTCTGTGAGTTCGAGACCAGCCTGTTCTACAAGAGCTAGTTCCAGGACAGGTTCCAAAGCTACAGAGAAACCCTGTCTCGAAAAACCAAAAAAAAAAAAAAAAAAAGCAAAACCTTTGTATCTTTGTGTTGTATCTTTTAAAAAAAAGGAGGCAAAAAGAGGAACTTAAAAATCTTCACAAATTATCTGATCAGAAGTTTATTGAGATATTCTTTAAAAACTGGTGCATATCTGTAATACCATTCTTTGGGGGGCAGAGACGGGAAGATTGGGAGTTCAAGGCCATCTTGGGTTACAGAGCAATCCTATCTCAAAACAAACCCACTCCAGTGCCAGCAGGTGCGTGACACACTCAGGAAGGGGGATCAGGAGAGAGAGCTGATAGAACCCAGGCTTGGTGACAAGCACCTCTTTCCACGGAGCCATCGCTCCGGTCCATGAGCCTCATTCTTGCATTGCAGAAAGTCTGATGTGTCTCATTAAATAGCTCTTCTCAAACAAGTATTGCTTTTTCTCCATTTAAAATACCAGTTATGATCCACAAAATTTCCATATTGTGACTAAGGGTCGAATACGACAGAAGCCAGCATCCTACTTGAGGACAGTAACCACCTCTAGTGTGGGACGATAGAGGAGTTTATGTGAGTGGCCCAATGACGGAGAAGGCGCAAGTAGGCACCTTACCATGTTCTTTCACTAACTACAGACCCCAACCTTTTCAATTAACATCACCCAAGAAATACTGATGTTTACAAGAAAGAGTATAGATTACAGACTTCAGACTCCCAGTCACTGCAAGTGTGCCACCTTGGAAATATCTTCTTGTGACTCAGTTTCCCTCATCTATAACAATAGGAATATATATGAATGTACTTCAGCGCTGCTCAAAGGAAAACTGGTAAGCTGATAATGTACACGCATGGGACAATCGACTACTAAGATACGAGTGTAAGGAATAAGGTAGGATTTCTAGTCTAGTGCAAAGTGCAAACACAGCAATCTGTAACTTTCCAAGACTGTCTTCGAGAAATTAAAGGACTTCGGTGAACAAATAATTAAACTAAGAATTTAGATCCCGAAAAGTGGTCTCAACATCTAAAAATCTGTTTATAAACCAAACTAGGTTTTATATTATATTCTGGGCTTCTAGCTTCAAATGGGATGAAGACTTTCCTCATAATATGGAAGCATGAATAACTTATGTGAGCACACGCATGTGCCTGTGTGCATGCACAAACCACGTGGTAGCCACAGGTCGACAGAGAGCACCTCCTTCTGTCAGGCTCCCGTATTTGTACTTCTGATACAGGGTTTCTCTACGCAGCCCTGGCTGTCCGGGAACTGTGACTGTGTAAAGCAAGTTGGCCTGCCTCTGCTGGAGTCAAGGGCATTCACCACCACTCCTGACTACACTTTTTTTTTTTTAAGACAGGATTTCTCACTGAACCTAGAGCTCACTGCTTCAGCCAGGCTGGAGAGCCAACGAGCCCCAGGAATTATTTCCACCTTCCCAGACATCGGTATGCACCACCATAGCTGACTTTTCTGTGGTGACAAGAATCTGAGCTGAGGCTCTCACGCTTTGTCTACTGAGCTCTCACCGGCACCAGACTTTCAGACTTGTGAGCTTCCCGTTCTCTTTCTCAACATAACCTGCCTGAAAAGTCACCTGAGGTCTAAGTTATACTGCAGTCTCCCTAGTGGAAGACTTCACCTTCTATCACCAACTATAGCCGGAAGATACTAAATGGCCCAACCCAGAAATAAAGAACACATAAGTTTAAACTCCACAGCAGCCTGAGTAGCATCATGAACTTCTGCAGTTCCGCTCGGTGCTTTCTAGGAAAGCTGTAGCCACGTATGCAAGGACTACATCACGGATGTTCTAGTAATAAGTGTCCTCTCACACGGAACAAACATGCTTCTTCTCTCCGACTCCAGGGTTCCAAGCTTGTTAAAGCTCTCCTCTACTGCACAACCCCTGCAGTGTAGGCCAGTCGTGCACTAACTCACTGCAGTGTAGGCCAGTCGTGCACTAACTCACTGCAGTGTAGGCCAGTCGTGCACTAACTCACTGCAGTGTAGGCCAGTCGTGCACTAACTCACTGCAGTGTAGGCCAGTCGTGCACTAACTCACTGCAGTGTTAACCAGTCGTGCACTAACTCACTGCAGTGTTAACCAGTCGTGCACTAACTCACTGCAGTGTTAACCAGTCGTGCACTAACTCACTGCAGTGTAGGCCAGTCGTGCACTAACTCACTGCAGTGTAGGCCAGTCGTGCACTAACTCACTGCAGTGTAGGCCAGTCGTGCACTAACTCACTGCAGTGTAGGCCAGTCGTGCACTAACTCACTGCAGTGTTAACCAGTCGTGCACTAACTCACTGCAGTGTTAACCAGTCATGCACTAACTCACTGCAGTGTAGGCCAGTCGTGCACTAACTCACTGCAGTGTAGGCCAGTCGTGCACTAACTCACTGCAGTGTAGGCCAGTCGTGCACTAACTCACTGCAGTGTTAACCAGTCGTGCACTAACTCACTGCAGTGTTAACCAGTCGTGCACTAACTCACTGCAGTGTAGGCCAGTCGTGCACTAACTCACTGCAGTGTAGGCCAGTCGTGCACTAACTCACTGCAGTGTAGGCCAGTCGTGCACTAACTCACTGCAGTGTAGGCCAGTCGTGCACTAACTCACTGCAGTGTAGGCCAGTCGTGCACTAACTCACTGCAGTGTTAACCAGTCGTGCACTAACTCACTGCAGTGTTAACCAGTCATGCACTAACTCACTGCAGTGTAGGCCAGTCGTGCACTAACTCACTGCAGTGTAGGCCAGTCGTGCACTAACTCACTGCAGTGTAGGCCAGTCGTGCACTAACTCACTGCAGTGTTAACCAGTCGTGCACTAACTCACTGCAGTGTTAACCAGTCGTGCACTAACTCACTGCAGTGTAGGCCAGTCGTGCACTAACTCACTGCAGTGTTAGCTAGTCGTGCACTAACTCACTGCAGTGTAGGCCAGTCGTGCACTAACTCACTGCAGTGTTAACCAGTCGTGCACTAACTCACTGCAGTGTTAACCAGTCGTGCACTAACTCACTGCAGTGTAGGCCAGTCGTGCACTAACTCACTGCAGTGTAGGCCAGTCGTGCACTAACTCACTGCAGTGTTAGCTGGTCGTGCACTAACTCACTCCAGTGTTAGCCAGTCGTGCACTAACTCACTGCAGTGTAGGCCGGTCGTGCACTCACAACATACTGGACATAGGTAAAGAAGCAGACGGGTTGGGCAGGCAATCAGGAAAGTACTTTGTATGTGTCTGTGCCCGTGTGCACGGCGCCCGCAGAGGCCAGAGGAAGACATCAACAGGACATCCATGACTTCCTCTCCCACTCTCTGCCTCATACCATGAGACAGAGTCTCTCACCGAACTTGAAGCTTGCCATGATGGCAAGACGGGCTGGCCAGGGAGCTCCTGCAGCTGGGGTTGCAGGCATGTGCAGCCACTTCTGGCTTTCATGTAGAAGTTGGTGATTCAGACTCAAGTTTCCTTGCCAGCACAGCAAGTGTTCTTATCAACTGAGCCATCTTCCCAGTCCCCAATAAAGCATTTTTACGTATGCAGATACAGTATGGGAGATTCTGTGGGCAATTTGCACAAAAATGACTCAAAAACAAGAAAATAATACCCAGGTATTTTATAAAATGGATACCATCACACTAATGTTTATATATAAATAGGTGAATTTAAAATAAAGAATTTAATTTTATTTCAAAGTGTTAATATTTTAATATACCAAAGATTACATTCCTCATCAGCCATTTAACTCAGCAACAATGAGATGTCAACTCTAAAAATGTAACGCCTTGTCTCTTCAAATTTCTTCTATGGTTCTGCAAATCACTGCATCCTACTTATTTTCACTTAATCTTGTCATGTACTTAACAGTCTCCCTTTTATGAACAAGAAAAGGTCGGATAGTTCATCCCAGGTGAACTGTACCTCAGAGACTGGAGGACTTGCGGTCACCAGGCAAAGCTGCTCCTTAGGGCAGCAGAGTTAAGCAGCAAATAAAAGAACTGGTAAAACAACCGATTTACAGCTGGTAACCCTCAGAACTAGTTATACTAGATTTACAGCTGATAACCCTCAGAACTAGTTAACAGTAGATTTACAGCTGGTAACCCTCAGAACTAGTTAACAGTAGATTTACAGCTGGTAACCCTCAGAACTAGTTACACTAGATTTACAACTGGTAACCCTCAGAACTAGTTAACAGTAGATTTACAGCTGGTAACCCTCAGAACTAGTTACACTAGATTTACAACTGGTAACCCTCAGAACTAGTTACACTAGATTTACAACTGGTAACCCTCAGAACTAGTTAAAAGTGGACTTACAACTGGGGGATGACACTCAGAAATCCAGTTAGCCAATCATAAAGACATCGGCACAACCACTTAAGGCCAACTCTCCCTAATGGCCACGCTTCAGGAACTTCAACACAAACCTCTCCCGGGGTTCTGAGACAGAACAGTAGAAATTCATTCTCTAGCTCCATGCTGCGCTTTCTATCCCACCATTATCGTCTCTTCTAAAAACACTTACTTTTCTACATTCTCATCAGAACAGTCCCAGCACCTAAGGAATTTTCTTCCCTGTGACTTACATCTGCGGCTATGGTGCACCCCTGAGTTTGAGGACAGCCAGGGCTGTGTAGACAGACTCTGTCTTGGAAAAGCAAAACCAAACAGACCAAAGTGGGGAGGGGCTGTGAAGGAGAAAAGGAGGGCCCACTGTCCCAACTTCTATCATTTCCCCTTTCTTCTACTATTGTTCCCACAGTAATACTTAAGTTTTCACCTAACTACACTAAGTCAACATGAAATAAAACCTTTGCAAAATAGCACAACACTTAAACAGGAAGCAGCGTTTCCTTGAGAAAAATACCTTCATGATTCACATGAAAAGTAAATGCTTCTAACTGTCTCTTGGACTGCACTGTTAGGCAAAAAGTAAGTGTTTTTAAGTAATATCCTTATTCTATTAACCATGCCAATTACAGTCAGAGTGAATACACTGGAAATTCTAATTTAGACACAGTAACATCTCATTAGGGTCTTGCTACCCTTCACAGATGTTCTATGTAGGTGGACAAGCAAAACCTGATGAATTAGGATAGTAAATCCAAACAGTGGCATGTAAGACCACCTCAAGAGATGAACTAGTCTTCCCGGTTTGAAATCTGTTGCACGATTTATATTTAAAACGACAAATGCTTTGGTGCTAACACACACAAGCAAGCCCCTCATCACGTCACACAACCAGGGAAACACACGTTGACTGAGATCGACCTAACTGGGCAGAAAGATAGGTGTGCTTATGACGTAAGTCAGCGCTGAGTGCCATCTGGAAATGACTTCACCAATATTAAAAAACAAACAAACAAACTGAGTACCAATGAAAGCTCCAAATCGTTCTTCATAATTATGAAATCTAATCTTTACTGAATAACTGCCATATGCCTAGTCATTTCATCCTGGCAAGAGCTCCATGCAACAGCTTTTTACAGCTCGTAAAATTGAAGCTCAGGGAAGGCCAGTGACTTGCTCAGAGCACAGAAACAAGAGTTGAGAATTAAGTTCGGTCTATGCTTAGGTGAAGGTGTCTTCTTTCCAATGTCTAAGTCCAGAAGCATGTAGGTAATGTGGCAGAATTCACCTATGAGCTAGCAGTGCCTGCAAGAATACTTATCACAAAAACATTTAATACTATTGGAAGCCCACCACTGCAAAAAATATTCCAACAGCTGTCACTTTGAAGGTAACCCAAATCTGGTGAGCACTCGGATATCGATCACCAACTGCAGGACGCGGTCCTAGTTAGGCTTTTAATTTACTACTCCACCCTTCTCCCTCCAGAGAGGGGCTATAACCTAGCTGGTGGATAGAACATACTGACTAAAGCCCTTGGTACTAAACAGACAGGAGTGGTTTCCTTGTGAGATTTCAAGTAAGCCCTGTGCATAGCTAACTTACAACTCGAGCGGCTGACTCTGGCAATGCTGTTAGAATGTGCTCTGGACAAAAACTGACCGCAGGAAAAGTGGGAGGGCGGTCCAGGCAGGGCAGAGCCCACTGAGCTAGCAGCGAGTCTGGCTGGGTTAGAGCAGCCAAGCACTCCAGGCCCAGAGGCTCCAGCAAGGGCGCCTCCATATGCCGAACTCTCGCCCAATCCCCGAGCAGCCTCGCATCCCGTGACCGCCTGGGAGCCTGTTTGGAGAAAAGTAGAGAGGGAGCTCGCAAGCTGAGCTGGCGGAGGGTGCTGGAACCTGGCTGCTCCGGAGAAAATGTCTCCTTGGCAGCCGCGGCCGCTGTCCTGCGGTCTGGCTCTCCCAGGCCGGCTAGGCGTTGGGGGAGGGAGGACAGGGGGGCGGTGTCGGGCACGGGCGTTTCCCCGCCCAGGTCCACACCGCCGCGACGGAAAGAGAAGCCAGGATTCCCGAGTGCACGGGGGTCGCGGGGCTCGCCCTTGGTCGGGGCGGATGACAGCAGCCCGGGGCTGCAGAGCATGGGTCTGCGGAGCGCGGCAGAGTCCCGGGTTCTCCGGGCGGGTCGGTGTGGCATCTGACCTGGGGTAGGTTCACGCACACACCCCGTACGCCCTCTTCTGCAGCCCTATGCTCTGCAGATCCCCGCGCCCCGGGCCCGGGACCAGCG